GAGATGAAAATGTTAGGGAGGGACGATTTGGGAAGAGATTCATTCAGAACGAATCTACTGCGTGGTTCGGAGGTTAGATGCATACATATGAACCGTCGGGACATAAGCTAACATACACTTGCTGCATGTCGCATAAAACGTTAAAAAATGTCAATATGTGGGAGTAAGAGAAGAGCAGACATATGGATACATCTGACAACGCAAGAGAGAACATGTATCAGTACATTGCATCTATTGCAGCTGTGCATTCGGTTTTAAAGAGATAGCAGCCTAATTTGATTTCTATTGTCCGAGTCATTGATGTTAATCAAGCAATAAAATAAAATTTACTGTAGATTTAGTCGACTAAAATCTTATGATATTTAGCTGACTTTAGACTAAAACTAAAAACAATTCAGATGACTAAAATATGACTAAAACTAAATGGCATTTTAGTCAAAAGACTATGACTAAAACTAAATCAAAATTTGCTGTCAAAATTAACACTGACAGCTTCTAATGTATTAGAGAAGATAGTGCCCATGTTGCTAGTCATTCCGTCTAGTTCATGTGTATTTATGGGTATACAGAGCCAACCCGATCTCATGAAAGTGCATATAAATAGTACGCCAAATAAAAACGAAAACTCGTGGTATTTATACGCAAAAATTGACTTTGTCGTGTATATGCTACGCGATGGGTAGGTTTAGGGTTGTGGGGTAGATGCGTATCATATGTACGCGAAAACTGCGTATCATATGCACGCCAACAAATTTTGTATCATATGCACGCGAAAACTGCGTATTATATGCACGCCAAACACATGCGTATCATATGCACACCAAAGTCAATTTTTGCGTATCAATACCACAAGTTTTCATTTTTATTTGGCATACTATTTATACGCATTTTCATGAGACCAGGCTCACAGAGCAGTTGAGATAAATCAGGCCGGTTATTTGGGAATCTGTCTTTGGTGACTGGAACAATAGTTCTGTCCAGACGATAACGTGGAGCCATATAATTAATATCAGTAATACGCAGCATGCACGATACAAGGAAATGGTCAGTAACATCATCACTTTGAGGTACGATATCTATATCAGTAAGATCAATTCCATGCGATATAATTAAATCTAGCGTATGATTAAAACGATGAGTTGGCCCGGTGACGTTTTGCTTGACTCCAAAAGAGTTTATTAGGTCAGTAAACGCAAGTCCTAATGCATCATTTGTATTATCAACGTGAATGTTAAAATCTCCGACAATTAGCGCTTTATCAACAGTAACCAATAGGTCTGAGAGGAAATCTGCAAATTATTTTAGGAAATCTGTATACGGCCCTGGTGGTCTATACCCAGTAGCCAGAGCAAGAAATACGATAGATTTATTTTGTATATCTGACAGTGTAACATTAAGCAGAAGTATTTCGAATGAGTTAAATCTGTATCCTGTCTTCTGAGTAGCATTGAGAATATCACTATATATTGTTGCAACACCGCCGCCACGACCAATCTGACGGTGCTCATGCTTATAACAGTAGCTTGGTGGAGTAGACTCAATCAGACCAATATAATCATTTGGTTTTAGCCAGGTTTCAGTCAAGCAGAGTACATCAAAACGATTATCTGTGATCATTTCATTTACAATAACTGCTTTGGGTGAGAGTGATCTAATGTTTAGAAGCCCCATCTACTGAACCTTTCATGTCCTCGTCGATACGTTTCAATGATTTGAAATGTCAATAATAAAAATAATAAAAAATAAAAATCTCATCACAAATCACATCAACACTAACTATTCCTCCCATATATGGCAGAAATAATAAGAGGTATATGCTAGTATGCCATGCTAGGATGATTATTAAAGAGGAGTGGTAATTACCTGACACAGCAACATATATATAATGGCAGACAACAAGGTGGCTCAGTAGGTTTTGGAACAGAGCCATTGACTTGACCGCTATGAAATAAACAAATAGTTCATCATGGTAATTTTCTGTAAGTAACAAAGAATAATTTCTCTGAGTAATGTCTCCTGGACACGGATTAGATGTAATTGTTGACTAATACAGATTGTCACATTCATCGGCTGTGGAGTTTAATCCGTGACTGGGACTGGAAACATTTCGATGGAAATTGGCCATATGGTTTGACAAAGATTTCCCCTGAGTGATTGTGCGGCGTAGGAGTGTGAGGATGTTTTGCAGAAACACATTTGAGTAGGTTGTGACATTACATGTCTACATTCTGTGCCGAGAAATACAAATGGAGATTTCCAGAGGCACGGAGACAGGGGTGCATAAGGTTGACCATATTCAGCCACTCAGTCGCTAATGGACAATTTATGTCAGCTAGACTAAAAAAGATGAGTCTGAACTCTAAGGTGCAAGTTTAGTCGGAAGAAAGAATTGACTTTTAAGACAAAAATGTCTATGTCTGAGTTAAGGAACATTGGATGAATGCAGCACCCCTGTTGATGGTGGGCATCCCAGAATCCAAGGTATTATACAATCTAGACAGCCTTTACTGTTGCAAGATGGCCTCTCACTACGTTTCCCAGTTTTCCCGCTAGATGTATTGACAAAAAAAAAGCCATTAGCCACCACATTAATCAGAGATAAAACATTAACTAATGTTGATAAAATCATTCAACTCTCATTTCTAACAGAAGGGCAGTGTTCAACAGGAATCTTGGGAAAGGACACGGTCCTGTGGGAGGGGCCAACCTTATGACATCACTGAAGGTGCAGAGAGATAAATGCTGTGTTTAGATGAAAGCGAGAAATGGAGGAGACATTTTGAAACCCACTGGAAGAACCTTAGAAGTAGGGCAAGCTGGACACTTCCACCTGCACACTGTCTTTTATTTTTAATATGTTATATTAGTATATTAATATATCAAATTAGTGTGTGTGTGTGTTTGTGTATACAAAATAATAATAATTAAAAAAATAAAAATGCAATTACATATAAAATAAATAATACAATAAAATAGTAATTATATATATATATATATATATATATATATATATATATATATATTGCAATGGATATAGTATTTGTATCTGTAAACCTAATGTGGGCGGAGCTTATACCAGAAATGGGTCCAAAGTATACAAAATTTTTATTCTATTCCTTTCATAGTTAACATAACAAATATGCCTTGTTTGAGTATATATATAGGCCTATATTCAGACCTATGGTCCAGGTCCTGCAAATTTGTTGGTTTTCCAGCATCTCTTGCATATATGAACGATTTTCAGCAGTAACTGTATGATTTTGAGATGCACCTTTTCACAATGACGACAACTGAGGGACTCATACGCAACTATTTCAAAAGGTACAAACATTTACTGATGCTCCAGAAGGAAACACAATGCATTAAGAGCCAGGGGTGAAAACTTTTGAACATGAAGTTGTGTACATTTTTCTTATTTTGTTTATATACAGAGTTCTGTCAATATTGCAATGGATATTTGCTGTCTATAGGAAACTGTCATTGTTATGATTGGGAATGCTGACAGCTTAAGATACAGATATGTAAGATACAGCTTTGTCAACTCTGACAAATTTAGCCCGTGTGAAAATAATTCTTGCATGTATACCGATAATTGTACTGTTTGCAACTTTTCTGTAAAGAGAAGTGAAAAGACACTACCTGTTAGAAGTGTAAATCAATTTGCAAGAAATTCCTAAAAGGAACGTCAAATGCTAAAACAAGCACATTAGAATTGAGACAGTCTTTTATTTTATTTAAAAAAATCACACACCATAAAAATCACATGTACAAAACTATAAGATCTTAAATTGATTTATGTACAGTTACAAAATCAAATGGCAAAATAAAAAGTGACCAAACAACTCAAATGAGCAGGTATACTTGTGTTCCCATTCAGGACTGTTACTGCTGCTGCTGTTGCCATCTGTTTGTTGCTTCAAGTTTGAGTTCTCACTGGACGAGAGGGTCACGAATGACAATGTAAAGTCAGAGGAGACGCAGGATAGCAGATTGATGAAAGTGCAGAAAGCACAGACATAATGTTTACTTTGTCCCATCTAAGTTTCCTCTCACTGGTGCAGTTTACATGATTGAATGGTTGGAGGATGATGAGTATCTAGAGAAAACAAGAGAAAGAATATCAGACTCTTTGGCAGAAGGTGTGATGCTTCTGAAGAGATAAGAAAATATTGCAGGCCCTGCCTAATCACCGAGGAGCTGCTTGCAGGTCAGCCAACATGTAATTTAGAAGAATGATCCGGTTCAATAAAATATATGCATTATTGACAGCGTTTGTGGCATAATGACTAATAGAGTGAATTTACTTGTACATAAGTATAGAGACATAGTAGAGGGTCAGTGTCCTGCTGCGTTTTGCTCCAACCCTAAATAAACACAAGCTGATCAAGATGTTCAGAATTACTTGAAAATTAAATTGGGATCAGCACAAAAGTCTACAGGACACTGAATAGATATATATCATTCTATCATTATATCCATCAATTGTTCTATCTATCATTCTATCTAGCCATCTACCAATATATCTATTGTTCTATATTGTAATATCTATCCACCTATCATTCTATTTATCCATCTATCGTTTTATTTATCCATCTATTTTTCTGTGTATCTATCATTCTCTCTATCCGTCTATCATTCTATTTATCCATCTATTGTTCTGTGTATAAATCTGTCATCCTATTTATCATCTATCATCTATCTATTTATCATCCATTGTTCTATTTATCTGTATATTGCTATATCATCTATCGTTATATCTATCCATCTACCGTTGCATTGTTTTATCTATCTATCTATCTATCTATCTATATATTTATCTATCATTATATCTAGTGTTCTAACTATATCGTTCTAACTAGTGTTGAGTAAACATGTCTTATTATTATCAATGCTGCAAACAGTTGTGGTGCTTAATATTTTTTGTGTATTTTTTTTCCAAAATGTTGATGAATAATTTCAAAATAACCTTGAAAATAGAATTCAAACTTATTTGAAAATATTTTATAACATAAGTTTTTAATGTCAATTACTTATGTTCAATTTAGCATTTTTGCTGAAAATTTTTTTTACTGACCCCAAACTTTTGAACCAACAGTTTTTTTTTTGTTTGTTTTTTATAATATTATAAATTATATTTATGTATATAATCTACCAATATAATGAATATTCTTGTATGACTGTATGTTTTAACAATTATTCCACAAATACATTGTGGATTATGCAGTGATCAACATTGTGCCACAGATGCTGTGGACTGAGTTTACCTTACACTCAACCCGACGTGTTCCTTTATAGCCTGAAGTCTTCAAAGACAAGTGGGAACGGGTGAAATTGGCTTTCATAAGTGCTGATTGTGACATCTAACATTACATTGATCTTACATGCATAAAGGAACAAAAGGAATGAACAGCAGTGCTGGCATCCTCTCAAATATATGATGCTGCTCTCCTCTTTGGGCTTCTGGACCCTTTGGATGGGAGAACAGCTGATATAAATGTTAATTTGTTGGCAGGGGCAGCAAATGGTGCCGCCAAGCTCTGGAAAGCTTGAGAGACCATGAAAGCAGCCGGGACTAAACAACATGTCTGCCAGCGACTCGACCCCGTACCTATTCTGCTACCGTCAGATAATGTGTTCTCAGAGACCACCTTCAACAGCTCAACACCTGGACAAAGTCCTCCATCTTTCAGCAAACACCACAAGTCAGTCTCGAATCAAAACGTAAATGAACGTCCATCAATATTGATCTAAATTATGTCACAACTGATTTATTTTTAGCTTAGTCCTGACAAAAGAAAATTCATCGCCATTGGCCTCTAGAGCGGCCATATGTTCCAGCCATGCACTGAGACAGATACTGGATGTTTCACACCGCATGTGGGCTCCTAGATGGATCTGTCTGGAGCCTCGCGGCTCTAAATGACAGCGTAGACGTGACAGTAGACAGAACACACAACCAAGATCATCCAAACGTATCTAAGATCAACAGCTCCGGGCATTTGCATTTAAGTGAAGTTTCGGTTCCTGCTTGTGTTAATCTCTGTTTTCTCCTCTTGTAGGCCCGAAAAGACGAACCCTTCCGGTGTTTAATCTTGTTAGGTGAAAAATTAATGTTTTCAGTTTTTTAAATGTGACAATGTAAACAGACTAGTTAAGATGAATTAATACAAAAAGAAAAGCTATATCTGTTGTTCCGGTGAGAGGTCTATTTCAAGTAAAGAAAGAAGATAAATAAACTTCAACTGCAATCCTATTTTGTCACACAAGCCTGATCTCTCCGCTATACAAACACTCACCCCAAAATATGTGTATAATTCATGACAATTAAGTCAGGATTTGTTAAAATCATTTTAATTTACCCTGAAGCTTCTACTGCTTTTTTTTTTATATGTTTATATGTTAACACCAGTGTATTCAAATATGCATTGTTCAAAAGTGTGAGGTCAGTAAGATAACATATGTATATTATTTAGCAAAGATCCAATAAATTCATCAAAAGTGACAGTAAATACATCTACAGTGGGGAAAATATTTATTTGATCCCTTGATGATTTTGTAAGTTTGCCCTCTTACAAAGAAATGAAGGGTCTGTAATTTTTATGGTAGGTTTATTTTAACGTATAGAGACAGAATACCAACCAAAAAATCCAGAAAAAACACATTATATAAAGGTTAGAAATTGATTTGCATTTCAGTGAGTGAAATAACTATTTGATCCCCAAGCAAAACAGGACGTAGTACTTGGTGCAGAAACCCTTGTTGGCAAGCACAGAGGTGAGACGTTTTTTGTAGTTGGTCACCAGGTTTGCACACATCTCAGGAGGGATTTTGGTCCACTCCTCTTTACAGATTCTCTCTAAATACTTATGGTTTCTTGGCTGTCATTTGGCAACTCGAAGTTTCAGCTCCCTCCACAGATTTCTATAGGACTGAGATCTGGGGCCGTATGTATAAAGCCGCTCAAAGTAAAAGTTTAGTCTTAAGTGTGTCAAAATTCTAAGAATGACGTAATTTTACTCTTATTCCTAGACCATTTTTTTTTGGCTGGAAAATTGGAAAATTGGAAAAATGCACCAATGCACCGGTGATGACACAGTAAGCAGGTTCTTACATATTGTGGCACTAACCCATTATTTAGTTAATTTTAAATTGTAATAATAATAAAAATAAATAAATAAATCTATAGCAAAGCATTTGATTTTTCTATTGGCAGTGCAATTTATTTTAATCAGCCAATCGAAAGGACTTTTGCAAGACTATTCCATGCATCAATTGCATTTCAGTACTATACTAAAGTCCTAGATGAAATCTTTAGCGTAAACACATCCGATCTTCTATATCAGAAACCGAGGATGGATTTCAGCACTCCAAGTATCTTATTACTTGGTTTGGCTGCCATTATAGCTTTCATAATGAGTTATATCGCCACACCTTGTTTCTCGTCAGCACTATTGATTATGCAATTAAATCCAGCCTGACCATTAGATATCAAATAAAGGAGTATTTCAATGGATTTTGTGCAAACCCAGGGGCAAACGGTGAATGACAGTCGGGCGTAAATCAAAGAGGCTCTTTAATAAAACAGCAGTCTGTCATGCAAATGACGCACTGGGAATGACGGCCACAAAACATACGTTATTTACATTTCATTGGTCCTCTTGTTTTTGCATGTCTTCATAATTTCTTTGTATGATAGCATGGCCAAAAATTATGACCGCACAATTTGGCTTGTTTCATTGCATTATTATAAGGGGATCAAATAAATATTTTCCCCACTGTATTTTACTTTATATTAATCAAATAATCCTAAATAAATAAATACATAAATAAATGAAAATGAAGCAAATTTCCATAAAAATAATTAATAATAAAACACACACACACACACACACACACACATATATATATATTATGCATTGCAGGTTCATCATTATTAATAGTATTATTATGTTTATGTATTTTTACATACATAAACATAATAATATTTTTTAGTATTTGTATTATTATGTTTATGTATATGTATTTACTTATTTATTGTATTATTATTTTTATATACAGTGCACTAAAGTAAAAAAAAATTGTGAAATCTCATCTGCAAATTAATATAGTGAAAAGATTTTTAAACAAAATCACATAGTAACCTGTTGCATTTAAATCAAACATGGAAGAAAATCTAATGTTGGTGCATAAGCACAAGTAAACACAACGCAAGTGTTAATAAAAAAAAGAAGCTGAAAGAAACTGGAATTTGAACCAACCTATTAAGCATCACACCATTAGATATTATCATTTTGAATAAGCCATCCATTTTCCAAACTATATATCTTATGTGAAATATGTTTTAATTAATTAATTAATTAATCAATTAATCAATCAATTAATGTATTTATTTATCATTCATTCAAAACTGAAGTAATGGACTTTGGATATTATATCCTCTTCCTATATTCTGAAATAATTTTATAAACCTTAAAATCCAGTGACCACCCCGACGAAAACAAGACGCATTTGGAGAAGTCAACGTGGGCGACCACTGAAATCCATCAGGTTAATCTATGCAGTAAGCAAATTCACATATTCTCTGACCCTGTAAGGGAAGCATTTGGTCTCATGGAAAGGGCAAATTCGTGAGTCATTATATGTTTCATTCCCAAATTCAATTTGCCAGAAAGTGCACCTAACGGGTCTCCAAGAAACAAAACATTAGCAACAAAACCAGGACCGAACCATTAATTTCGAGGAGCGTGGCTGTACTATGTGATTAACAATGCTGTGATAATTACTAATTAGAGAGTACTTATCTCAAAGAGGTGTAAGGTGGAACAAAGAATTAAGGTATCAACAAACATCGCCTCTGGGTGAGATGACACAGGCTAGATAACATCGCCATAGACTCTTTCAACACCGCATTCACAGACAAAATAACAACAATCGCAAGAACAGCTCATTAAACCAGCAGAAAAATATGATGTTGTCTATAAAATATACTTTTTAAGTTAGCAGTATCTGCAAATATTGTTGTAAATAATCTGATGCATTAATTGGTAAAGGACATTTCAAGGTCTTTGCCTTGAGCTAAATGGTCTAAACAAATCTGAGATTATAGTGCATTTATCATCTTTATATAATTAATCATTATGTATCAATAATTTAAACCGTTAATGTCGTTTCTGTTTTAATGGCATTGCTGTGATTAAATGGCAAATAAGCAATCAAAACGTACAACCTTCACGAGCGTCTGAGGTGGCAAAATGTGTTCAATGAGCTCATAAGTGTGTCATTGGCATGGAGAAGTGATTAGTCACGTAATGATTTTATAATTGGCGAAGAAATGAGGCTTGACAAGTCAAAACGAAATGCTAAGTGAGGCGAAGGGGTGCCAACAACTAAAATACTGTGTAATTGCAGTTCAGTTGGACTATTTAAACATTTTAAATTATAACAACTTAAATGCACCACTGAGAGAAGAAAGCCAGAGTTCCAACAATGTTGGAAAGCTCAGTCATCATTTAATAGAGGCAAAGAGCCATCTGTGCTCTACCAAAAACAGAATGAAAATCTTCACAGTCATTCTACTCTTTCAAAATGTCTGGATGAAGAATTCAATAGAACCAATAACTGACATAATGAAACTAGTGCCTTTTCCAATTTCCAAAAGTGACATTTTAGCAAATTAAAATTGTCTTAGTGCTATTAAATTGCATTGTCAACTATATGATGTACCAACATGATCTCATGAGAATTGCATGTATTATGTATGTATTTTACGTAAATGCATATAAACAACTTTACAGACTTATAAATGAATCCTTATGAATATGGAAATTGCGGCATTAACATTTTATGTTGCATTGTATTCAGTTGTCATATCAATAGCATTATGTTTTCAATCGCATTATTAAATGAAGTTTACTCATTTACTTAATATGAAATGATAACATTTCATTCTGTTCTGTGTGATTTCTGCTGCCAACTCTTTTCTAAGAATATAATGTTAAACAAGACTACTCTTGAAACCCTTAAAATGAATAACATTTGTGTAATTGTTTAATCATTACTTATCATGTAATATTTACTTTGTTTTCCATGAGACACAAAAGGCATTTTCTCCAAAATGCAGTGACTGACAATAGAACCATAAAATAGAATACACCGAAAAACGCAACACAAATAATCAATTTTATTAGTGCGCTGTAATCCAAATTTTCAGAATCCATACGACTGCGAGGACAGACCCAAACTCAAGCCTTTATTCTGCAATCTTAATCTCCATCCTGAGCAGTGACCGTAAGCATCAAAGCCCGCGCTGACGTGTTTATTACAAATTCAAAAATTGCAGCTTCAAGAATCTTTACGACAGGTTTTACGTAGGGCTGCACGATAAATCGCATGCGACATTTAACGCGCATCTTGTCAGTAAAGCCGGTTCTTTAATCAGCGGTAAATCTCCATCACCTGCGGGCTTTCACATGGAGCAGCATTGACTACACAGAGCCGTTGTTCACTGACAAGCTGCGCAAAACCACGATCATATTTTGCGCATGTTTTGCGCAGCTTGTCGGTGAACAACGGCTCTCTTTATCGTGCAGCCCTAGTTTTACGGCAGTAAAATCGATTGTTCATTGGCTCTCGCCTGCTTCGTCACAGATTGTGACATGCCATGTTTCTTGTGAGGTGTGTTTGAATGAGAAATGCAAGCCTTCATGGAGTGGATCAGTAATAATCTGCATAATATTTTTAGTGATTAACAACTTAAATTCTTCTTTGCACCACACACAAACATATTTGTTTATGTTATATTGTTACTAAAATGGTCATTTCCCTGCGTATTTCGGTCAATTACGTTTGATATATTTTTGTATTCGTTATAAATGTATCGCTGTGATGACAAAGCTGAATTTTCTGCGTCATTGCTCCAGTCTTCAGTGTCACGTGATCCTTTGTAAATCATTTTAATATGCTGATTTGCTGTTCAAGAAATATGTATTATTATAATCAGTGTTAAAAACAGTTGTGCTGCTTAATATTGATTGATTGTTTGATTTATTTATATTTTTCCAGGATTCTTTGATTTTTTTTTTTGATTTTTTTACAACATAAATTCTTTTAGTGTCACTTTTGATCACTTTAGTGCTTCATTGCCAAATAAAACTATTAATGTATATGTGTGTGTATA